AGAATGGACAAAGCTCCTCAGATGAGAAGAGAAACGTCTTCAAGAAACCAAAGAAGTCCAGTTGCCTTCATCTGAACCCTTTTGGATTACCATGACCAGGATGAGCGAGAACCTTCAGCAGCATACTGCCCAGGTATTGAACACATACTGAGTATTGTATTGGTGGTATTGTGTACCAGGATAATGCCAGTACCAGTCAAACTGAGGAGGTCTACACTCTTACTGCAGAGGGGATGAATGACCTACGGCAGTGTTCTGTTTTACATCTGGGATGTCTCAGTCTGCCTCTGAAGGAGCTGTCCATGGTCTCCACAGTAGAATGCAGTGGGTGGGAGGGTTTTTTAAGATGGAGGTCATCTTCCCCAGCATCCTCCTTTCACACGTCTCCTGATGCACAGCAAGCATTTTATTTGTGGACGGAAATGACAGGAAACGTGGGTTTATAGGTAGCGAACGCATGAAGAGGCGGAGGACAATGAGAGACAAATTTGTCTGTGTTAAAAAGTCTCTTATATACAAAAAACACATTATAAACACACTATCTTGGACCGGATACATGACAGGATACCACAAAACAGCTCTATGCCCTCTGTTGTCCTGCTGGGGAATTGCTTTGCAGCACTCCCCAGGAGACGGAGAAATATGAGAGCAAAACGCTTCCGTCAATCCATGCGTGTCTATCCGTTGCGGGGCTGATGGAGAAGCATGAATCAGCCTTAAGAGAGCGCCCTTCCGGCGTCTCTGCCTCTTTATGTATACAGGTGTGTCACGTCACACAATCAGCCGATCACATTACTGCATTCTTCAACAAAGCATATAAAATCAAAATCAGCATCAGAAATGAATATTAGCACATAATCACAATACATAAAGTCCCTAATGCAAACAAAACATCCACAATAAATAGTCCAACACCCACACTTGCTTGTATTCATAAACATTCTGAGAAAAACAGGATAGTACTTCATGTACTAAATAGAGTTTTTGTAAATCTAAGCAACTATGACTTGGACGCAGGTTGAGTTAGTTAGTGGTAGTGGTTAGCACTGTTGCTTCGCAGCACGAAGGTTGCAGGTTCGAAACTCGGCTGCGGCCTTTCTGCGTGGAGTTGCGTGTTCTCCCCATGAATGCGTGGGTTTCCTCCGGGTACTCCGGTTTCCCCCACAGATCACAACATGCCCTATAGGTTATAAATTGTAAGTCGCTTTGGATAAAAGCGTCTGCCAAATAAATAAACATAAACATAAACCTGCACCCAATCTCCAACCTGGTTTCACGGTCAAGGACCTGAAGGACTTTGCGGGGACAATATCAGCTCCTTGACAATTGGACAACCGCCTCAACACGCCACGGAAGGACCCTGAAGTCCTCCCATTGAGAAGTTGAACTTTGCGCTTCATGTTCCGAACTATGTTATTACGCTCCGGACCTGGACTTCAAGGTACCTGATCAATGGAAGAGGACCCTGACTTTCAAATCTATTCTCCAACCGGGACTCTCAGTCTGGGGACAAGCCCTTTGATGAAGAACGCCTGGTTTGCCTCAGCTCTGCCATAGTTAGAGCTGCGTAAATTAATATTACACCTTCATTTTTCCTCCTTCACTGAAAGAGGTGGCTTATCAGATTTCTGGTCCTGCAAATTTATTCTGTTTCATTTTATTGTATGATGGCCTGAAAGGACACCCCTCATAAATAAAATAAATTTACACATAATTTTTTAAAGAAAGCCATTTGATTGGGTGGACCTAACACACACAAAAATGGCAAATAATTACACATGTCTACAACACTGTTAGAGACTCATTTATCCCAGCAAAAGAAAGTTGATGTTGGGTTGGCTCACTCTTTAAGACAGATGTCTTTCTCATGATTTCACATTTATTTTCTCTGAAGATGATCTTCAGTTCTTCTCTGAAACATCTAACAGATCTTAATGTTTATGGAAACCCGGGAGCTAAATTGTGTCAGCACAAAAACATCTAGGGTTTCTGGTTATTAATGTGTCTGAGTGTCACACGTTTAATGTTCCCCTGAATGCTTTTCCACACATCTCAGCCCAAATAGCCACGTGACTGAAAAGCTTCACCACCTGCTTCTCATTACTCTAATGGGTTATTCACGGCAGCTGCCAGCATATAAAATCTGCTTCTTTCAGACTGAAGAGAAAGCCAGCTCTTTGATCAGATCTCACGTAGAGGTTTTTGTCATCGGATGAGACGTTAGAGTTCTGAGCAGATGATCGCGTGGCCACAGACCAAACATCATCTGGTATGTGTACGGTCTGTTCATAAGCTGGATCCGACTTTGTGGAGTGATTTTTCATTTTAATTTCTGTTACAAGCAAAGTTATTCTATTTCTCAAAAGGAGGAAGGCACCAACAGTACACATTTTCTCTCAACTTTGAAGAAACAAACCCCTGAAAATAATTCTTTAGGACCTTAGTGCCTTAGCACATATTTTGCCCAAGATGGCAACAAAGCTTCCTCAGTCTCTGCCTCACCCTTGTTTACCTGGTGATCTGCCTCACTCTTTTTTACCTGGGTGGTCTGCCTCACCCTTGTTTACCTGGTGTCCCACAAGGTTCTGTGCTGGGGCCTCTGCTCTTCCTCCTCTATCTGCTTCCTCTTCAGCACATCCTGAGCTCCTTCAAAGGAATATCCTACCATCTTTATGCAGATGACATCCAACTGTACTTCTTCTTCAAGCCCCATGAGATGTCTAAGTTGCAGCTGTTACACACCTGCTTAGACTCTATCAAAACCTGGATGGCTGGGAGCTTTCTACAGCTGGATGAAGATAAGACTGAGATCCTCATCTGTGCCCCAGACAAGCTGGTTCCCAAAGTCAGAGACTCTCTTGGTCAGCTTGCTTCTCACACCAAACCTTCCGTAGGAGTCTTAGTGTGACCTTTGACCCAGCTCTCACCCTGGATTCTCGTGTCAGTTCTCTTGTTCGCTCTTCCTTCTTCCATCTCAGGAACATTGCTAAGCTGAGTCCCATTCTTTCCCACTCTGAACTTGAGACAGTTATCCACACCTTCAATTCCTCATGCTTAGACTACTGTAACTCTTTTTTCACGTGTCTGAGCAGAACCTCCCTGAACCGTCTGCAGGTGGTTCAGAATGCCTGTGCTCGGCTTCTGACCAAGTCCTCCAAACACACCCATATCACCCCGCTTCTCCTCCAGCTTCACTGGCTGCCAGTCAACTTCAGGGTTCATTTCAAGATCCTGGTTCTGTTCTATAGGGCCTTACATGGACAAGCACCATCTTACATTGGTGATCTTCTTAGTCCCTACACCCCCAGCAGGTCCCTGAGGTCCAGTGACCAAAACCTACTGGTTGTGCAGCACCAGGCTAAAGACCAAAGGTGACAGATCATCTGCTGCTGTGGCCCCCAGACCCAGGAGCTCTCTCCCCCTGAGCCTGAGATCAGTGGACTCGGTGGTCTCCTTTAAAAAACAGCTGAAGACTCACCTGTTCAAGCTGGCTTTTGTGTGACCTTTTTCACCACTCTCTTTATGCTCTCCCCACCTATTCCACCTTCCTCAGGATCCACTGATTTCCCTCTTTCCTATTCACTCTCTCTCTTTCTTTACATTTTAATCACAATTTTCTATTTTTTCCTCATTTAAAATATATTTTAACCACTTTCTAAATTCTTTTTTATATTTTTACATTTTTTGTTTTTGTGAAGCGCCTCGTGATTTATTTTGAGAGGCCCTATAGAAAAGATTTTCATATTTTCTTCTTCATCTTCAACTTTCTGGCCACTGACACACACCACTCACTCGCTTTCTTGATCTACGATGGTCCATTTACTTTGCTTTGCTTCTGTGCTCATAAGTATGGCTGTGACTCTTGACAGTGCCTTTGAAATTAAACAGGGAAACAGTTGAGAGTCATTGCCATGGTCATGGAAAATTGCAGTTTGTGGGTTCAAACCAGGTTGTTTGTTTTGTGAAACAAGTCTGCCACCTGCTGGTAGGGGTGAGAGTCTGCTCCTCAGTTCAGTGAGCCATGCTCATGGATCAGGGCATTGGGTTTGGCAAAAATGGACCAGCCTTCACCCATTCATACCATACCATATACCATACAGCTGACCGAAGTGCTGAACGTTACTAACGACATCGATGAAATTTAACAAAATACTCACAGCTTAAAACAATTAGGTCAAACAAAACTACCACTGAGATACGGCATTTAAAACGTACACGAAGGCACAAATAGGTAATATATATATATATATATATGTATACATTATATATATATATATATATACATATATAATATATATATATGTATATATAGGTACTTGTTTACCTGGGTGGTCTGCACATACATACAATATACATATATTATATGTATACACACACACACACACTCACACACACACACATATATATATATATATATATATATATATATATATATATATATATATATTATATACATATATTATATGTATACACACACACACACACACACACACACACACACACATATATACATACATACATACATACATACACACACACACATATATATATAAATATATATATATATATATATATATATATATATATATATATATATATATATATAGCATTGCATTTTTGTACTTTGACAACATTAAATATTTATTTTCTAAATAAATATTTAGATCCCAGCTAAACATTTATTATGGAGCTATATCCAAATATTGAATATGAAAAATAAATATTTAGCTGGGACCTGTCATTTGTTTGGAGGAAATTAAATATTTATTTCTTAACTAAATATTTTGTTTGTAAACAAAGCTTTAAATAAAATGTTTAAGTAAATTAAATATTTATTTAACACCAAGTGAAATAATCAGCTTGCTAACTAAATATTTGGTTGATAACTTTAACATGGTGAAAATCTGATCGTGAAAACTGGGCTCGTTTCCCTCCTGATTATGGACTACATAACCCAGAATCTGTTTTAAATGAGGACTCTTTGGCATCCACACCAGCAGGAGGCGATGGTGGGTGTTATGTCTTTTTAAGTTACCTCCTCTCTTTCCGGTTTGGGGTCAAGATGACGACGCTGCGCTCGTTTACCTGCGATGACCTGTTTAAATTCAACAACATGTAAGTGTGTGATAGTACCTGCTCAGTCTGGGCTCAGGTGTCTATATTATTGTTGTGTCCTTTGTTTTACCGGCGGAGTGAGCGCGTGCTCCGGCTTACGTCCCGTTGGTTGATTTATTATTAATAATGTAGCTAGAGAAGACAATAACGTTAACAGGTGTGACGTGTTTCCTCTTGCTTTCCCGCACAAACATGTAATAAAATGTTTTGTTCATCAGAAACTTGGATCCTCTGACGGAAACCGTATCCTGACTCAGCAGAACGAACCCATGAGAACGGCTGATTCATGCTTAGGTTCAGCGCGTTCAGCTGTTTCCGTGCTTGTTTTTCTTTAACCTTTGACCTCCAGTATGGGATCCCGTTCTACCTGCAGTACCTGGCTCACTGGCCAGAGTATTTCATTGTGGCTGAGGCTCCGGGTGGCGAGCTGATGGGCTACAGTGAGTTCTGCAGTTTTCTCAGTGAGTTGATGACATCATCGCTTCTACAGCTGATCTGATTGTTCCTGTCACCAGTTATGGGGAAGGCGGAGGGATCTGTAGCCCGGGAGGAGTGGCATGGCCACGTCACGGCGCTGTCGGTGGCTCCAGACTTTAGACGGCTCGGCCTCGCTGCCAAACTCATGGAGATGCTGGAGGAGATCTCAGAGAGGTTTGTGCTGGCAATCAGACGGAAGAGCAGACGTCCCTCAGAGACCTGATGAGACACGTGTCCTTGTCCTGCAGGAAGGGAGGGTTCTTCGTGGACCTGTTTGTGCGAGTGTCCAACCAGGTGGCAGTGAACATGTACAAGCGTCTGGGTTACAGCGTCTACAGGACTGTGATTGAGTATTACTCGGCCAGCAACGGGGAGCCCGATGAAGACGCCTATGGTGTGTGTGTGTGTGTGTGTGTGTGCGTGCATGCATGTGCATATCTCTGACCAACTGTTTCTTCCTGCAGACATGAGGAAAGCTCTGTCCCGAGACACAGAGAAGAAGTCCATCATCCCACTGCCTCATCCGGTCAGACCAGAAGACATCGAATAACAGCTGACCCTCATCATCATCACTTCCTGGTTACTCGTCACACCCAGAGACTGATTATAGAAAACACGTGGCTTCATGTTTTTATTTCCTGTAAATTTTCAATGAACATTTCGGAAAAATATAAAAGTGTGTGTGTGTGTGTGTGTGTGAGACAAATGAGCTATTTTAGTTCTTTAACTGAAGGAAAACCAAGGTGAAGTTTCTCAAGGAGGACTCTGGTCTTTCTCCTCCTTGTTGCTCTGGCTGCCCTCTCTCTCCTCCTCCTCCTTCTCCTTCTGGCTGCTCCCGTCGGATCGGTCACCGTGTGTGTTCTGCTGCTCCGTCTCCATTTGGATGCTCTCATCCTCCGGCTGCTTTTCAGGAGTTGCAGGTTGGTGAGAGGAAGATTGTTCCTCCTCACCTGCTGAAGACTTGTCTCCATCGTCCCTCACCTGCTGCCTCTTCCACATCTTGGCCATAGCGAGCAGCTTGAGGTTGGGCTGGTTGGCAGCATCTTCTGGGAAGATGTAGTCATAGTATTCTTCCCAGCCTGCGTCGGACTGATGGGAACAGAAACACCTGATCAGCTGAGAACATCTGGACCATGAATAATTAAAGGTAACGGCTGGGGCTTCACCACCAACCATTGGACCACAACGGGGTTTTGAATCGACCACCACGCTCAGATGAAAGTATTCCTTACCCCGTCTTCAGCTGTCAGCTTCCTCCTCTTCTTCACCTTCTCAGGCAGCAGCTTCCTGACCCGGTCCCTGGTGCTGTCGGACCCAAACTCCTTCTCAAAGTCTCTCCAGGACTCCAGCAACATCAGCCGCTCCTCTTTCTCCTCACAGCTCCTCATGCTCTTGTTGGCCTCCTCGTAGATCTGGCGACACTTCAGCAGCCGCGTGGGTTCATCAATGGACAGCTCAAACTTGGCAAAACTGATCCAAACCTGCAGGAGCAGAACTGGGTCAGCGTGGCCTTGGGAGTTCGAACCGGTATCTGGTTAGACCCAGTCTCACCTTGACATGCTGAGTGCGCTGCAGCAGCCTCCTGTAAAGGTTCCTGGTGTTCTCAAACTCCTCCTGCTCGATCTCAAAGTCGATGTAGGACTTCCACAGAACCTGAGAAGAGAACAGGGTCAGAGGTCTGAGTCCCGTTTGTTCTGCAGCATAAAACTAAGCAGTCCAAACCTCGGGCATGTCCAGTCGTGGCTGTCCAATGGCAAGCTCGAAGATGGCCCGAGCTCGATCCATGTCTCCCAGAATCGTCTCCAGTTCTGCAAACTTGATCCAGGTGGTGCAGTTCTCTGGGGTGAATTCCAGGTACTTCTCGTAGAGCTTCCTGCAGCGATCAAACTCTCGCAGCTGCAGCTCCAACTCGATGTACCCCTTAAACAACTTGTTCTTGGGACATTTCCCGATGGCCGTGCCCTGCATGGGGGTGGGGGGTTTAGCCTGATTGATACTTCTCTGTGAGCTCCACGACGGAGAGATGCACACGGAGTGTCGGAAAGGTTTTCACATTCGACTTTCTGCTCAGGCAGCGGAGTGTTGCAGAGCGATTCCACACCAGGCCAACAGAGGGCGTAGCGCTGTTCTGTGGTATCCTGCCACCATGACCCCGTCCCCTATAGTGTATTTACTAACACGGACTAATGTGTCCCTAACCTCAACACCCACGTTTCCCGTGGTTTCAGGCCACGCTTGCTCTGTATTTTGTACTCCTTCACTCACGGGTGAATAACGTTCATATTTTCGGACCTTATATTATATTTATTTAAAGAGCAAGACACCCCCTACCAGAGTATTACTCCACTCCCACTTCCTGTTTGAAAAATGCATTAAATGCTGTTGCCTAGCAGACTGAGAGGGCGGAGCCGCTAACAAATACGCACACACACAGGCTCACAACGACATTGTGACATCATATGGTACCAGCTAACATTCTAGGGTACCTCTTAGCCAATAGCGATGGCAGATTTAAATTCAACTACAGAGCAGAGTTTTTACCTGACAACGGCACAACACTGACAGTTTTAGGCAGAAAATTTAAATTTTAACTAAAATGCACTAAAGTGCTAAACTATTGACTACACGTGTCTGCAGCACAATTAGACACGCATTTGTATAGTTTATCAGAAAAAAAAGTTGATTTGGGGGTGACTTGCTCTTTAAACATTTATAGGGAACCTTTGGAACAATCAGCAGCAGCTGCTCAGCTGAACGTTGGGCACGAGTGGGTGTGTAGAAACGCAGGTCGGCCAGATAAGAGGGTTGGGGCAACGCAGAAGTATAAATCAGGCTTAAGGTTGTGTGGTTTGGTTTTACAAGAGTGCAGCGCCAAAGCTCACCATGATCTTTCTGGAGTTCTGAAGATTCTTTTGTCGGATTTCAAACTGAGCATGAAGCAGCCACATCTTAGCAAATGTGAACTGAAAGAGAAGAGAAAGCACGTCACAGCCTGGTGGTGGTGGGGGGTTACATCATGGTGAAGTTCTAAAGACCTTCTTGTGAGGGATCAGCTCCAGACAAGCCTGGTAAACCTGCCTCGTCCTCTCCGGGTCCTGCCGACACAAGTCACCGTTACACCGGTCCGTCAGCGCCCTCTGCAGGAACGCTGCAGGACCACTGACCTTGGTCTCCAGCTCCTCGTACAGAGCGTAGTTGATCCACAGGTAGATGTAGCGCCTCCAGTGTCTCTTCTCCTGCAGGGGGGGCACATTGGCAATGGCTCGTTCGTAAACCTCTCTCACCGTGTCGGCGTCCGCATCGCTCTCCACCAGCCGCAGGTAATCAAACCAGGCGTCGTAGTTGTGTGGGTTAGCCTGAAGGACAAGAAGTTGCTGAGTTTGGGCCACACAGCAGAACACCTGCCTCTGCACACCTGAGCCCAGAACCAGACTTCATCTCTGACCTCCAGACAGGTGAAGTACCTTCACTTCCTCTTCGTACTGGAACCTCCGTTTGCTGACGATCACATCTTCGATTCCTCTCCGGTCTCCAAACTTCTTTTCAAACATGGTGTAGTTCTTGAAGAGCTCCTGGGCCTGATGTTTGGGGATTCTGTCCAGTGCGTACTTGTAGATGACTCGAACACGCTCAAACTGTCCAGAACAAGAACAGAAGTAAGAGAATCCACCCAAACAAACCCATAAACAAAGTTCTGATAGCACCCACCTCCTTCTGTGTCTCCTCAAACTTGGCAAAGGCCACAAACAGGTTCTCCTCCACGTGTTCCTCCCCGAAGAACTCCACAGCCCGCTCGTACACCTTCCTGCTGTGAGCCACATATCCGTGCTTCTCCTCGAAGCGAGCGTATTTGATCCAGTTCTTCACCTCCGGGTGAACAAGGACGAGTGAAGACGAGTTAAAGAACTTCCTGTCTGTTCAAAACCACGCGCAGCCCATCAACCACCAGAACCAGGGTTAGTTAAAAACCGGGTCAGAAGGAACAGAGATGTTCTCCAGTACTCTGTAGGATCAGGTTTAAGGCATTATGGGTCTGAATCTGTAGCTGAACCGGGTCACAGATCTTTGGTGTTTTAATTCGAGTCTGACTGGACCTGTTCCGGTTGTTTTTATGGAACGTGTGTTCTAACCCCACCATTCTAGGTTCTACTGGGCTCCAGTAGAAAGGATATAGTGCTCGTAGATGGTCCGGGCTTTGTCCACCTCCTTGTAGCGCAGCTCAAAGTTGATGTAGGAGTGCCAGGCCTGTTCTTCGGGTTCCCACTCCATCCAGCGTTCAAACACCTGCCTGCAGCCAGCCACGTTCCCCAGCATCTCCTCCATGTAGGTGTACTTGTACCTGAGCAGAACATCAAAAATGTTCCAGCACACACGTGAAGGCTCTGACAGAACCCCAAGCTATAGAGTCCTACCAGAACTGGTTGACCCGTGGAAGGATGGTGATAGCTCTGTCCCAGATGTTACGAGCATGATTCACCTGGCGGCTCTTCATCTCCATTTCGGCGTACTTCAGCCACAAAGTGACATTGCGGTGATCGACGTCCAGCGCTCTTTCATAAATGGACCGGGCCCTGAACCCAGATGAACAGTGTTTAAACAACTAACCAGGTTACCTTAAACCTCTAGTTCCAGCTGTGGTGACGACCTAAATACCTCTGGATCTCCTTCAGACTTTCCTCCCACTGAGCGTACTTAATCCAGTTACTGATGATGGTCCGGTTCTTCCTGATGTTGTCTTCAAAAGCCTGAAACACAGTTAGACCAGTACCCATCAGACGTGTTGTTTACCTGTTAGACTAACCCACCCATGGAGGCTACGCTCTCTAAATCACCTTCCTCTTCCTCAGCTTGTAGTCGTTCAGCTCCTCCTTATCGGTGATCTTCTGTTTGGGTGGCGGAGGCAGAAGCTCCAGCTCCCTCTCCTTGGCCTCTCTCAGCAGCTGCTCAGCTGTGATCTGGACCTCAGCAGGAGCTTTGTTCTTCACCTGGAAAGCAACACAATAAGCTTCAGGACCACTCCTCGGTACCACTCCTGTCCTAGAACCAGAACCAGGGTCCGGTGCGATTTTACACTCTTTAAAACCAGAATTGGCCAAAAAGTCTTTCTGCGTTTTACCAGAACATTTGATCGTTTTTGAATTTACAATTTTTTTTTTGTTTTGTTTTTCTGGTTATGATCGATGAGCCGGGCCGGACCAGAACCAGTGAGCTGAAACATTCTAGGGTTGTGCTGATAAATGGCACTTCAGGTCCAGCATGGCAGAACTACTGGACCTTAGCAGTGATGCTGAGATCCCAGGTGACCGGAACATCTGGGGGAACCAAAGCTCCCACACATCCAGGAGCAGCCTCTGAGCTCCCGGTGGAGGACAGGAGCTCGTGTCTCTGGACCCGGGCCATCAAAACAGAACTCACGGGTCACTACAGCTAAACAGTAATGCGTTAGCATTAGCTTAGCCGCTCTTAGCTCCGCGCTCCGGTCCGCTTACCTTCGCCACCTTCGGTATCCGCTGTTTCCCTGCCGCCGTGGAGGCCATGCTGCCGGTGTGTCGGACCAGACGTTCTCTGTAAAATAAAAGGTCCCAAAGAAACGACTGTTTCAAAGCTTAAGCCACATAAACGTTCCGTTTGCTGCTCCAGCCACCATGACAGTACCCACAATGCTCTGCGACTTCCGGTACGTTGGTATAGCAACGGAAGTTACACAAAGGGAGAGAGTAAAAAACTCAATTTTTTGTACCACGTGACTGAAACCCTCCTAGCTGCAGACGTAGCCCCGGCCAAGCGCGCCCCGGTGACCCCCACCCCGACAAAACACGCCCCCCTGTTGAGATACCCCCGAGCTCAATAACGGCGGCCCTCCCAGCGAACAACACAATTGAAAGAAAATAAATATAGAAATAGTAATAATGTAATTAAACAGACAGGACTCCAGGTTTAAATATGAATGTATGGATTTTTTTGGCCATCCCCAGTGAGATTATAAAACACAGATACCACCAACAAATAATCAGTTGCCGTACAATAGGCACAACATACCTATGCTTACTGACGTTAGCAGGTGAGTAATGTATGTGCAAGTGTTTATTTTAAATGCAATAAAATAAAATATCAGAAAAAGTAATTAGTGGTAATCGTTTTAATTAACCCCTTAAGCCCACTGACCCCCATTTTTGGGAGCACGCCTCCTACAGCAACATTTAACTTTCAACCATTTGTTATTACAGGCACTAACAGTAGGTCTAAGTTCATACGAGTGAGTAGTTAATATTTATGTTACTATCTGTGATTTTTTATTGCTTCTTTACAGTGAAAAGCTGCTGCTGTGTAATTTTTAGGCATATTTACATGTGTATATATGCATTTCATATATTCTGTTAACAGGAATAATTGCTGGCCCTTTCACACAAAATGTATTGATTTAGAAATTACTAAAATATTTTGCATTAAGTATACGATTCACAAGACTAGTAAACTGATATTGACCATACACTAATCTGTAAAGAATATACTGTAAACACAAAAGCAGAAAAGTTTGGCTTTAGAAAAAAAAGTTCTGACAAATGAAACAACCAGCAACAGCTTTTATTGGCCTTACAAATACCTTCCAAAAAATAATAATAATAATAAATGTCCACACATTGCTACAACCTCTTGAAAAATTCAGATGAGTCCAGAGCTTTTCTGATTTTCTCCGAGTATATGAGCAGTTCCATGGCATAGGACATCAGCTGCCTCTCACTAGTGAGACAGAGATAAATAGCAATTAGTAAAAATGACATTTACACCTAGAGGCTGTCATAACCAATGTGAAAACAATACATATAGGAATTAGCACTGTTCTTGTGTTTGTAGAATACCTCCGGGCTACCACATTGCCGTCGTGAGTTTGCTGTTTATTAGATGAGGAGTCATAAACGGTCAAATAAATAGCCTATTGTTACGTTTATTTTGGCCAAAAGGCTTGCATGTAGCCCATTAAAAATTATATAAAAAAATTTGCGTCCATAACGTTTTCCCCCACTGCCAATAATGCTTAATTTTATAAAAAAGGGTTTCAGAAAAAAATTACGAATGCGCTATCTGTCAAACTATGTCTTAAACGTTCAAATTTCTAGTACAAAATCTTTGCAAGTTGGAAAAATACTTCATTCTACACAGAGAAGTACTTCTCTGTGTAGAATTAATTAATCCAGTTTAATCTTCTCCTCCTTCTCCTTCATGATATTATAGTTCCTAACATGTTTACCAAATAGATTAGGAGTTTTTAAAAGCTTCATTAAGACAAGGAGGCTAAAATATTCTATTCTTAATGGCTAAAATGAAAACAACATGCAGTTACAACATACAGCCACAGGAGGGCAGCATCTTCTTATCTTTCCCTTAATTTCTTGATGCCGATTTAAAGCTAGTGCTGTTCTGTTTATCGCCAGCAGAGGGCGCATATTTCCCATTCTTTCAAGGAAACAAAATGGTGTTTGGAAGAAATTAGCTAAAGTCTTTTTACTAAGGAAGTCTTTAACCTTTATTAATCCAGATTCATCTTCTCCTTTAAATCTTCCTCTTTTTCCTCCACATTATTCATATTCCAAAAGGTTTAAAAGAAAGATAAAGATTTTTTTAAAGCTTCATTAACCCTTACCTCACATTAGAGCATTTTTTTGTGCTGACACGTGTATTTTTGTGAATAACTTTGGCTGTGTTAATGCAATTTATCTAATTTTTATGGAGGATGTGTATTTTGGAAGGAATTACAAAAAAAAGTTTGAAAAAATATTCAACCTACTTTATTAAAACGTGGAAATCATTTTGTACAGTTAAGCACATTGAAGCATTTTTTGTGCCATTGACTTTCATGTAAATCATATATTTTGAATTAGCATAAATATTGGCATAATTTAAAAAAATTATGATTGTGCCCATGTTTACAGTCTCATCACAAATGTAAGAAGCAGTTTTTACCGTTTTTCACTACATGGCATACTTTCTCCATATATAGCAGGGCAATGGCTGACCCAGCATTTAAACTGAATGATTTAGCTGTATTCTTTACCTCTGACTGCCCATTATATGACATATTTTGCAAAAAAAATGGTTTGTGTGTTATTTAGAGATGCCATACAATAGTTTGCATGTGTGTGTTCTGAATTTTTGGTAATTGTGCTTTTTCAGTGTTCTTTCAAAAAATAAGCCTGACTGAATGTACAAAATTAGCTTATTCTGCAAAATAGCATTTTGACATGTGTTCCTTTGTGTGTGATTGTGCAGGCATGCGTGTATGTAGGTATCAAAGCACTTTACAGATCTTCAAAAGACAGATCTGTGATCATTATCTGGAGTGGTTGAGCAGGTGTGGGCAATGGGAGTGTATGGGGGGGGGGGCACAGGTTCTCACATTCTGTTGACTTCATGAATATTCATCAAAGGCATGCTATATATCAAAAATCAAAGGATTTTCTGCTAAATTTCAGATACTCATTCACAATTTTACTTTTGCAAAATGTTATTTCAATAAGTATAAAGCATTTGCATGGATGAAAGCTAAGATGAAGGCTGAAAAACTTCAAAGGCGTACATTTGTTTTTCAAAACAAATTCCTGCAGAATCGAATTTTGTTTACATTCAGTAGGGGCAGCTTACACAGGTGCACCAGTTGACTAAAAGTACATACTGTATATGAGACTCAGATCAGGATTCATTTCTTTGAACCGCAACCATGAGAAGAAGATTCAACGTGATTGAAGCCCTGGAGGTGTTTCAGCAGCTTGAGGAAGAGGGAGAGTCAGCCTCATCCTCATCCACGGATGACAGCTGTTCTTCGGATGAAGAGGCTGAAGATCAGGCCTTTACCCCAGGGCCTGACTCAGGGGAAGAAATGGAAGAAGGTTCAGATGAGGAGGTGGTTGCCGCAGAGGAGAGATGGGACCATCCTTTGTGGCAATCAAAGAGCGGGATCGCCTGGTCCCCGACACCCGACACCAGGATTCCCTTTCGGGCTCCAGACGTCCGCCATTGTGGGATCACCCGCCTCGCTGTCAGCTACATCCAAACTATTGAGGACAGCTTCGATTTTTTTGAACTACAACAATCCTAGATGTAATAATAAAATACACCAATATAGAGGGAAGAAGAAAATATGACGATTGGACAGACGTTGACCGCGTGGAACTCCGGGCATTGTTTGGGTTGCTCATCCTCGCTGGTGTGCACCGTTCCCGTGGGGAATCATCTGCCAGCCTCTGGGGGGAGGAAACGGGGAAGCCGATATTCAGAGCCACGATGAGTTTGGGAAGGTTCCACATGCTGACTGCAACATTGCGCTTTGATGACCGCTTGACCAGGGCAGCCCGCCGGTTGGTGCAGCAGGACAAGCTCGCTCCCCTGCGGGAAGTGTGGGACCTCTGGGCGGCCTGGCTCCCTCACGCCTACAACCCCGGTGAAGATGTCTGCGTTGATGAACAGCTCGTCGGATTCAGAGGTCGCTGCAACTTCAAGCAGTACATGCCCTCAAAACCGGCAAAATATGGCATCAAGCTGTGGGTGGTGTGCGATGTGGCTACTTCTTATGCCTGGGGGATTATTCCCTATCTGGGCAAGATGACTCGAGACGCCCCGGCAGAAAGGGGGCAAGGGTAGAGGGTGGTGCTGGAACTCACTGAGGGACTGAGCGGCCGCACTGTCATCACGGACAATTTTTTCACCTTGCTGGTTCTTGGAGAGGAGCTGCTAAAAAAAATCTGTCTTGTGGGAACAGTTAGGCGCAACAAGCCAGAGTTGCCCCCACAGCTGCTCTAGATGAAAAGCAGAGCGGGTCTGTCCTCCCTGTTCGGCTTCACCTCCACCGCCACCGCGGTGAGCTAGAACACCTGTTCACCAAAGTCCCGTCCAGCCGGAGTCTGAGCTCCGCCGAACCGGAGTTCTACCCGTCCGGACGGCACTTCTATAGCTTCAAGAACATCACCCGGCAGGGAGGCAGCACCTCCTCCTACCCGGCCTCCCTCTCACCAGCCTCCTCCTTGTAATGTTCTGTTCACAAACTTATAAATAATTCTTCTTAGACCGCTTCATGAACCACCATTTCACTTTATTTACCGCTCGTCGGAACCACATAACCACTCCCACTTCCGGGTAATAAGCCTGGCTGTTCCCGAGGAGGCACCAAGATGGCGGCTTGAACAGTCGTGTTTTCTCAGGAGCTCCGAAAGACCGCAGATTTTGTTAAGTAACTTTATTCTCATACCACTCGAAATATAACTATGGATACCCAAAAAATTATTAAGGATGCAAAGCTGCAATTTGTGCCATCAAATCCCAATGTTAAGACGTCTCCGCATGCTAAAGTCAGAGACCATGACTATGCTAACACTGAAGCTGCCAACGTGGGTTTAAACAAGCGAGAACGGGGAGCAGACTCTGCGCCACCAACTCCATCAAAACAACCGCCGGGTGAGAAAAGAACAAAATCTTTAGAGAAGGAAGATGATATCTCCAATAAAACTATTTTTGAAGCCATTCTGGGACTTGAGAAGAAATTTGAAGTGCAGCTGGAAGATATCAAGGAACAAAACAGACAAAGTGCAGCTATGGTTGCCAGCTTGGCTAAGGCTGTGGAGTTTAATGCCGCAGAGATAGTTGACTGCAAACTGAAAGTTGTTAATCTGTCAAATGCGAATGAACAGCTGCTTAAAGAAAACG